GTACATTAGGTTTGACACATATGTGTTGAAGACTGGTTTCAAAATAAGTGAATATGATCACTGCTTATACTATAATAACACTAGAGTTGGTAGTGAAGTTTATTTACTTCTATATGTTGATGACATGCTATTCGCCAGCTCTAGTAAGTCTGAAATTTTGAGACTTAAAGGGCTTCTAAAATCAGAATTTGATATGAAGGACTTGGGAAACGCCAAGAAAATTTTGGGAATGGTTATTAACAGAAATAGGCAAGATAACATTTTAACTATAACACAGGGTGCTTATTTGAACAAAGTTGTAACTAAGTTTGGCATGAAAGAAGCTAAGAAAGTTAATGTACCTCTTGCAGCCCATATGAATTTATCATCATCTTAGTCTCCTAAAACTGAAAGTGAAATGGAAGAAATGAAAAATATCCCATATGCTAATGTCATAGGATCAGTCATGTTTTCTATGATTACTACTAGGCCGGATTTGGCTTATGCTATAAGTTTCTTAAGTAGATTCATGTCTAATACGGGGGAACCTCATTGGGCGGGGTTAAAGTGGCTTTTAAGATACATTGCCGGGACATTAGATGTGGGATCGATGTTTGAAAGAAGATTTGAACAGCTCATTTTAAAGGGGTATGTAGACTCCGACTTTGCCAGTGATAAAGATTAAAGAAAGTCTACTACCGTCTATTTCTTCACACTAGGTGATAATTGCATCACATGGAAGTCACAACTTCAATCTATTGTCACATTATCCAGCACGAAGGCTGAATATGTGGCAATAACCGAATCTATAAAATAATGCATTTGGTTAAAAGGAATTTTGGGGGAGTTGAATTTTTTGCAAGTATCACCCGTTATTATCACTGATAATCAAAGTGCTTTACTTTTATGTAAAAATCCAGTTTATCATGAGAGATCTAAACACATTGAGGTGAAATATCATTTCATACATGAAAAAATTGCTTGTGGTAATGTTATACTTGAAAAAATTCACACCAATGTGAACCTATTTGATATGGGAGCCAAAATTCTAAATGTAGGTAAATTTAAGACTTGTTTATCTTTACTACATATTGATACGGGTTAATTTCTTTTGCAGGTACTAAGGGCGATGATGTAGGGCAAAAACATAACCGTCACATGCATTGTAGCAACTAGAGAGAACTAGGGGTTTGTGAAAATAAGGTGAAGATTGTGAAATGTTTTTCAAAACCCATTACTCACGTTTTTAAAAGTGACAAAAATTATTTTCTCCATTTATTGGCCACATGGCAACTTTCCATTGGCAACATATATTTCACAAGGATGTGTGTTTGTTTGAAAACATTATGGGCCATTGATCAAAATGGAGGGCTGAGATTAGCTTAACTTTTCTTTCATTTAATTGATATGGACGGCAGGAGAGAGAGAGAGTAATACGACTTTCACCTTCTCTTCATTTTACTTCAAGAAATGGCAGACTTCTCTCTTCTATCATTTTGGCGATTTTCTTCTCTTTGGTGGGGTATATTTACTTTTCGGCCATATTTTTGGTATAGTGTTCTGAGCTGGTGATCTGGTGGTTATTTTACTAATGGCTTGGTCGAACTGGGTGAACAATTTGTGCACTTTTGTTGGGATTTTTCACCCAACGTGCAATTTTAATCACCAATACGCAGCAACAGCAGGAATAAAAACCATCCAGAAAATTAAAGAACGCACAAATTGTTCACCCAGTTCGACCAAGACCAATCTAGGGGGCTCAGAGGCAAAACAACTCAAGCCCGTCACTATGCAAAGAACCTCCTAAGAGAGAACATGAGATTGTTTTACAAGAATCAGATTTACATCAAGAAAAATCAGATCATCGGCTTTACAAATAGCCTCACAATATTAGCCCTAATCGACCCTGACCTGGACTCTAATGTAGTATCAATTTACAGTCTAAAAATCTGACCAAACAGATCAAAGAACCCGCTGCCGAAAAAAACACAAAGTTCCGGCCAGCCACCAGTAAAATAACCACCAGATCACTAGCTCAGAACACTGTCCTTACTAACAAAAATATGGCCGAAAAGTAAATATAATCAGATCTGGGATTTCCCCCACCAAAGAGAATAAAATCGCCAAAATGAGAGAAGAGAGAAGTCTGCCATTTCTTGAAGTAAAATGAAGAGAAAGTGAAAGTCATATTACGCTCTCTCCTACCGTCCATATCAATTAAATGAAAGAAAAGTTAAGCTAATTTCAGCCCTCCATTTTGATCAATGATCCATAATGTTTTCAAATAAACACACATCCTTGTGAAATATAAGTTGCCAATGGAAAGTTGTCATGTGGCCAATAAATGAAGAAAATAATTTTTGTCACTTTTAAAAACGTGAGTAATGGGTTTTGAAAAACATTTCATAGTAGGGATTAAGGTTTGATTCGTAACAAGAGATGCACAGACTTGAATGATTATTATTCAATGTGCAGATAGCAGCAGGAAAAGATATATAGCTGAAGAAATAGAGAAATACGGAAAGGGAAGCATTACTGCTCAGATTTTCACATTCAATGAGCTGTCCGTTGCAACTCAAAACTTCAATCCCAAAAATTTGATAGGCGAAGGCGGGTTTGGGAGGGTATATAAAGGCCACATTGAAACAAATGATATAGTAAGTTCTCCTCCTTTAGCAGATGATTAGTCTCCCTTTCTTAGAAAAAACAATTTCAGCCCTGTTTCTTTTTCTCTTGTGGGTTATTTTACGCAGGATGTTGCAGTCAAGAAACTTGACAGGAATGGTTTCCATGGAAATAGAGAATTCATCATGGAAATTTTGATACTGAGTCTTCTTCATCACCCTAATCTTGTTAAATTAGTAGGATATTGTGCTGATGGAGAGCAGAGAGTTTTAGCCCTTGTTTGATTCTCATTTTAAGTGAAATAATACATTTTGAAATAATGATTGATAGAGAATGTGTGGTTAAAAATTAAGGAAAAATTTTGAATTTACGTGTAATATTATTTTATTGAAAAATGTGTGGTTGAAAATGAGTTTTAAAAAAATAAATTTTTGAAAGAATGAGAATCAAACAAGAGTTTAGTCTACGAGCATATGCACAATGGTTCACTGGAGGATCACCTCCTAGGTATGCGAGAGAGACTTCAGTTTGTTAGTTATGTGTAGTACATAGATTTCATATGATTGAGTAAAAATTTTCTGGCATGCTTCTTGGAAGAGTATCATCTGAGAGTCCTGGCCAAAGTGTAAAGAAAGTATACGAGCTTTTCTGAACTCGTACGCCTTGTCAGCCGTGGACGAACGTGTTTGGTGCAAACACTTAACATTAATGTCAAAACTGTTATGAGTTCACTTCAAATCCGTATTTTTGCTTTCAACACTACCTGTACAAGAGATAATTTTTATCTTATTTTCCTCTTTAACTGTATTCAATGCAGTCTAATTCAGTATACCAAACATCCCATAAATGTTCTATATTGTTAGTAGTAAGTGTGATGAGACTAACTTTGCTTTTCAGATATTAGTCCGAACCAAAAGCCTCTTGATTGGAATGGAAGGATGAAAATTGCGGAAGGAGTAGCAAGAGGACTAGAATACTTGCACGAAAAAGCTAATCCTCCGATGATTTACCGAGATCTTAAACCCTCAAAAATACTTTTAGACGAAAGCTTCAATGCAAAACTTTCTGATTTTGGCTTTGCCAAGCTAGGTCCTACTGGTGGCAAAACCCATGTTTCTTACCCCGTCATCGGAACCTATGGCTACTGTGCACCGGAGTATGCAGCCACAGGTCAGTTGAGTACAATGTCTGATATATACAGTTTTGGCGTCGTGTTATTGGAGATAATCACGGGTCGGAGAATCATTGACAATTCAAGACCAAGTGAGGAGCAAAACTTAATTGCTTGGGTAATTGATCCTCTTCTTTTTCAGAACATTAATTTTTAATGTGTGAAGACTTGCTAATGTCATTGTATCCCAAAAAAAAAAAAAAAAAAAAAAAATTAGAGAAAAAAGGGAACTTTTCTTACTCGAGTTATAAATGATAACGCTTCCGAGCAACTTAACATTTTAAATGATATGGTTCAATAAAGCAAAACTTTCAATGAAGTTCTCGTTCCATCTTTACTATGATAAAACCTTATATTGATGTTTATCGTGAAATGGTAGGCACAACCTTTGTTCAAAGACAAGAAAAAATTCCATCTAATAGCAGATCCATTACTCGAAGAAGACTACCCCGTAAAGGCACTCTACCAAGTTCTTGCAGTTGCAGCTATGTGTTTGCAAGAAGAAGCAACTAAACGACCTTTGATCACTGATGTAGTAGCAGCTCTTGAGTATCTCTCAATGAACAAGAGTTGAGAGGAATCTGAAGAAGACGACAATGATGATGAAGGGGACGAGAACGATAATGAAAAAGAAGAGGATAATAATGAAGAAGAAGAATCTGTAAATTTGAACGTGAGACTCTATGCTAGAAATAGTCTTTTTGTAGCTCTTCAAAATTTCAAAGATACATAAAGAGCGATCATTATTGCTTCCGGACTTAATTTGACTATATTAGAATTCATAAAGAGACAAAAATACTCTTTAACACCAAACTACAAATAAACAATAAATTAAGAAACTGATATACTCTCATGACATGTTGACAGACACACAATTCATAGACACGCCTTTTTTTGTCACACACATACAATCTGTTTGGGAGTGATTTGTTGGTCTAAAAAATTAATTTTTTTTATCGTTATTTAACTATTATAGTCGTCATATTTGACTTCCTTTTTTATAGGTGGACCTCACTTTTTTCCTAATGGTCAAAAAATTAATTCTCAAAATCACTCCCACACAGGCTGATATAATTTCAATAAAAAAAAAATTTTAAATGAAGGGATTAATCAAATTAAAAAACCTGACTCGTTAAAAATTAAAACTTGATGGTGGTACTTCAAAAATTTCAAGAAACATTTAAAAATCAAAGTGGGCCAACAACGTCAAGAAGAGCCGCTATAGCTTTCTCGATAGTAACGTTAACCCATGTGCATATCAGCGCTCTTTTCAAGATTCAGGTATCCTCATCTTCATGATCTTCATTGTGAGGTTTCTGTGAAAGAAATTGACCCCAAAACTAGGCAATTTGCTGGTACATTTCTAACTCGATCTCTGTAAATTTTCTTTATGGGGTTTTCTTTTATTTTCTTGTTTTCTTAAATGTCAACCACTCTTGTGCTATCCATCTGTTTTTCGAATAATGTTTTGTTATCTAGTTATGTTCATTCTTGATGTTTTTATTCAATTTTTTCCCCCTTATGATTAGAATCTTGTTGATTTGATCTTATGTGTGCAATAAGTTGAGGGGAAAAGCTCGTTTTATGAATTAAAGAATGGTTTTTCTTTTTTCTTTTTCACTAAATTAAATTTTCAATAAGGAAATTGTCCATCTGACAGTTGAATTAAAACATTGGAGCAGGATTAGGTAACTGTGTTTTAATGAAATTTGTTCAACCGAAATCATTCATTGCTGCTGGGAACATCAACCAGTTCATTCTAGTTATTATACAAGTTGCTGGGATTCTTAATTGCCTTAATGAGCATTTAAGCTTAAAACATTTATTTGTAGTTAGTTTTGGTTGTTTCGTTGGGGTCATTTGCCCAATAACCCATGAATTGCTGGTATTGGAGAATTTTCTTTTCCTGTTTTTAATTCGAGTGTAAGAAAATGACTTGAACTAAGTAAGAGGGGGATGTATCTTTGTTTGTCAAGGGGATTGAATCCTCTGCCAAAACTAAGTTGAGAACGTCCCTTTTGCCACACCGATGAACCACGATTCCTTTCTATATCTCACAATTTCCCAGTGGTTGCTTGCGAGGTATTGTTGTAGAGAAGGGGGTTCGTGGGAGGGGAGAGGGATCTTTGTGTTAAAATGTAGAGGTCTTCAGAATGCAAGACCTTGGATAGGATTGGATAATATTAAGAGATAAAATGAAGTAAAAATTCTGTTCATTTGTACTGTCCTTGACCCCTGTACAGCCTTGCATACCAAACAGGCACTTACTGGATGTTCATATGGCCTCCATCTTTCAGTTTTATGCATTCTGGAACTGTAAATTGTGCAACTCCCATTCTTCTGAATATGCCATGACTGTCACTAACGGAAACTTAGATTTACTCTTGAATGGAGTAAAACAAAAGTATAAGTTATTAGCTCTTTTTTCCTAAAGGCGACATTTTAACATTCCTTGTCCTGGCATGAAGATTGTTAAGTTTTACCTTCTCAGATCTTGGAAGCATTGCAACGCACTATGAGTTTTTTATTTTGTGTTCCAGACAGTGTATATTGTTAATACTTATTTTTAAGTTGCTATATAGCTTGAATGTTCTCCCACACTCTCCACCCCACACAAAAGAAAAAAGAATAAAAGGAAAAGATCACTGTTTTAGTGACTTCTGTCGCTGCTTGGTTGATTCATTCTCTAGTATATCATAACCTGCTGGTACTTGACCGCTTTTGAGAAATTTGATGAAATTTAGACTCTAAATTTGGAAACGAAAGTGATCACTATTGATGAACACATCAGTTTTATCTGCTTGCTTGATTTGAAAATTAACTGTTTGGTGCTACTTCGATAAGCGATATTGAATTGATTAGACAATTTGATTTTGCTAAAAAGATAACTCGAGGTTCTTTCTTAGAAGGATTCTTCTCGGATTTTACGTGAAGACCGATAAAACTATGGTTCAGACACTAGAAGCTATCAAGGGTGGTGGAGGATCCATTAAAGTTGGAAGCACCGGGACAATCAGTGTCCTGATGTCAAGGGAATTAGAATCTAGTAATTCTGCTTCTCAAACGCCTGATACAAGTAGAAATGATTCTTTTCCAGCTTCTGTCACGTCCCCAGCTGATGAAACTTCTTCTAGAAGACTGAAATCTAAAACACCAGTGAATGAAGCAAGTAGCAGTGGCACGAGCAGTGCTAATCATAAAGTCCCGGAAACTACGACGAGGAAAAAACATTACATGGGAAAAACTCATCAAATTCCGATGCTCAAAGCTGATAATATCTCAATAGACGGAACTCCTATTAGACCAAAACCCGCAAGAAAGGGGTCTGCCATGGTAGAAATTGTCGACATAAAATGTGGAAATCCAGACAGGACATGGACAAGCCCTATTACAAATCGTCTTAAAAAGCTAAGTTTCTCGAAATTGTCCGAGAACAATGCCTAAATTTGCAGCCTCTTAAGATCAGACTTCAGATTCCTGTAAGTGATTCCGGAAAATTGACTTGGCCGATTGCTTTCTGCTACTTCTACCATGGAACACATGCTTGGTATGAGCCTGGTGCTTCCTCGTTTCTTCTTTTTCGAAACTCCAACCGCTGACCCGATCTTTGGTCCTATTAACTCACTAGACGAAGCTGAGTCAATAACCTGACAATGACTCTTGCTGGAGCTATTCCGACAACCTAATTCAAGCTGGTTAAAGTACTCGATTTCTTGCATTATAAGGGATCCAACAGTGCCTCTGGTTCCTATGGCAACAGGTTTACATTTTGCAGCCATTTTCTCGGGAACTGCTAAGCCAATGGCATCGTGCTTATGCAGAGTTTTTTGTAGAGGTTGAAGGGAGGTGGTTGTGTGATGGGACATCGTTGTTAGATCCTTAGACCTTGTTCTTTTACATGAATTCTTACCTTATATTAATGTGGAGATTGGGTGTGGTCACTGGATTCATGTGCATTCAGTTAAAACAATTTAATTTGCTTTTATTTAGTCCATCTTCTAAGTACTTGTGCATTCACTTTATTTTTGTATTAATTCTTGGTTGATCATTATTATTTTTGAATTATCTAAGCTAACATCACATAATGTGGCCTATTTGGAGCTAGTAGGCGATTTAAGGACCAGAAGGTTCTTTTCTCTCTTTCAATGGCAAAAGAGTGTAAATGGTGGCTTTATATATATATATATATATATATGGGAGCATTCCTCCAACATATGGATTTGACAAATAATCGTGACCTTTAGATTAAGCAAATCCAACGGTCAGTATGCATTTCACTAGGATCATGGGAGAGTTAGTTATAATCACTTGAGATTCATGAGATACTAACCGTTAGATTTGCTTTATCTAAAAGTCACAATTATTTGTTAAAAATACTTGTGAAATTCATGTGTAGGAATAACGCTTCTCATGTATATAGGTGAAGCAACTTGAGCGTCTGTACCGGCTCTTGTAATGTACAATGTTAGATAGCAAATTTTTCATTAATTATGATGTTTAATAATGAATACTCAATTCATTATGGGTTTTTACGAGTTTTCAGACACATAGGTTGTGGATGAAATGCTCTTTTGGTCTTTCAAGGGTGTTCATTGTCCATGTATTCATGGAAACATATGACATTGTTACCCTAAACATGTGAACTCAAATTTGAATGTCATGATCATAGTAAAGGAACTGCACCATTCTCATGACTCAATGAGTGGCTCTAATTTTAAACAATAGATTGGATAATATTAGACATAATTAAAATAAAAATAAAAATACAATATACTTGAAATACGATTTTTTTTTTTCAATATCGTGTATCTAATTACTGTCCAAACATTTATATTTTACGAACTTTTGAGGACCACAGCAAAAATCAACCAGACTTTTCATATATTTTCCATATCAAACTATGGGAGAATAATATCATACTTTTTTCATGAATAAAAATTCCAATTTATATTTTTCTTAGATCCAAATTTATAGGAATGCAGAAAAATCCTTGTTTGGGACCAGTTCTATTCCTTTTATAAAACAGCATATTCATTTGGTACAACAAACCTTTTCCTTGACATCAAAAGTTGTATACAAAATTTTGTTTAGTATCCCAGCAACTACGCTTCTTTGTTAAAATTAAAGTCATTCATTGGCTTGGATGATTGTTATATGCATTGGCCTCACAAGGGGTTGAGACGTGGAGTCTTAAGAAGAAATTATTAACTTTTCAAGTGTCGAAATTTTATACTTGATATGTGAATTAGTATATCTCGAAAAAAATGATAGTCGAAAATATGCAAGTATACCAAATCTTTATTGTTCCGAGATTTATACTAAATCTTTTACTACTTAATTTAACTCGTTCGTATATTTAAATTTTTTTTTTTATTGTGGATAAAGTAGTTTTTAAAATTTAATTTATACGCAGATTAGTACCTAACGGATTCTTTTGGAATATAAATTGATTTAAAAAGAACTGTGTGAGAGAGAGGGAGAAAGCAAATGGCAAAAAGTTGAGTGGGTAGAGAAGCTTGCTCTCCTAATATATCAGAGCCAGGTTTCGATCCTGGGACCTGTGGGTTATGGGCCCACCACGCTTCCGCTGCGCCACTCTGATTTGTTGAAACATGTTTGCAGCCAATTTTATAACAATCTTAAACCCTTGTTTGAGCCCATTTTGGCAAAAGAAAAAATTTTTGAATATTGTATTGATGAAAAATATAAGGAAATTTTTTGAATTTGCGTGTAATATTATTTTATTAAAGAATGTATAATTAAAATGATGTCAAAATACTGTTGAAAAATATATTTTTTTTCAAAAGAATTGAGCTCAAACAAGGGATAAGTCAATAAAATTGAGCACTTATTTGAGAGCCCTTGCATTTTCATTTTTCCTTTTTTTTTTTTTTTTTGTGTTCAGATTTAAGTAAATTTTGAAACGTTATACACAGTGCAAGCGGGTCCCATGCCAGTTGCAATGGTTGACACAAAAAAGGCAACCGTCTTGTTTTTATTTGAAATCTCAAAAATGTTTTGCCGAAGATTGAAAGCAAAAATAAAAAGGCACATAGCTCTTTTTTCAGTCCACTTTAATTGATGGGCAAGGAAACAGTCAACAATTGCTACTAAAGCACGACCCGACCCGACCCGCTTTCACTGTATAACATTCCAAAATTGCTTAAAATCTAAAGAAAATCGCTTCCATACAGAAATTGAGCCCCCATTTGTCCTCCATTACATTCATTTCATTACATTCTATTTTTTCTCTCATATTTTCAATCACACAATCTTCCAAAAAATGATATTACACGTAAATAAAAAAAAAATTCCTTCTTTTTCAACCACTCATTTAAAAAAAAAAAAACACTATTTCATCCATTTTTATTTTAAAAAAATGGGGGCCCAATACATTCCCCCTCAAAACCCAACTATTCTTCTAGAAAATGTTACTAATAATCCTAATTCCTCAGTCCTTGGGTGTCCAAAACCTCGAATAAATTTAGGATGACGCAAAATCACAAGAAAACTTGGAACAAGCTCTGGTTCAAGAGCCACTTGGTTCAAGTTCGACGGAAATAGTGTTGATTCTGAAGGTGCAAGAATTAATGGCTAGGGAGTGTGTTGGTAGGTATTATTCCAAGCATGCTATGGTAGAGAACTAATCACTCACATATTCTTCTGAATTATATGTATTCGGGAGATTAATTTGGAAAACTAGTAGGAACTGTTGGAAATTATGTTGGTGGAATGATACCGAATAGATCTGGCTATAACCATTTGCTTAGAGGATTTCCACGATATGACAGTACCTCCCAATGTGAATACAAATCCACTAGTGGACCTTGAGTCTTTTATATCAGATATCCAATTAACATCACTGTATCCTTCAATGACTGTTGGATATTTGGTATAGTGCAGTTCAAAATTACGAGTATATCTAAGGTACCTCAGTACTCTTATTATTCCTCTCCAGTGATCAGCTCCTGGATTACTACTCAGTTTACTAATTGTGTAAGCTATGTCTGGTCTTGTACAACTCATCAAGTATATCAGACTTCCAATAATTCTCGAGTATTCTACTTGAGAGATACATGTTCAAAGAATAAAGCGTTTCTTGATTCCATTATCGTGTTTTTGTGTATCTCTGGGATTTTAGAATCATACACAAGAAATCGATAAGCACTACTATTATGTGCATAGCCAATGAAGATGCAATCTACAGTTTTTGGGTCTATCTTTACCTTCTTTGGTGTTGGGACAACTACTTTAGCAAGACACCCCTACACTCGTAAGTATTTATAGGAAGACTTTCTTCCTTTCCATAATTCATAAGGAGTCTTTTCCATTTTCTTCCGGGGCACCTTATTTAAAAGGTAATATGCTGATAACACATTTTCCCTCCACATGTTCTGAGGTAATCCAGAACTTACTAGCATTGTATTCATCATTTCCTTTAATGTACGATTTTTACGATCAGCAACACTATTTTATTGTGGTGAGTAAGGTACAGTGATTTCTTATAGGATTCCGTGTTGCGCACAGAATTCAGCAAACGGTGCTTCATACTCACCACCTCGATCGCTTCTCAACACCTTAACTTTCTTATTGAGTTGCATTTCAACTTCATTCTTATAGAGAATAAATTTCTCTATAGCTTCATCCTTACTTTTAAGCAAATACACATAACAATATTTAGTACTATCGTCGACAAAAGTAATGAAATACTTGTTGTCGCCTCTTGTTTGTACAAATTTTAAATCACATATGTCACTGTGAATTAAATCAAGTGGTTTTATGTTTCGTTCGATTGATTTAAATGATGACCTTGTCAATTTTGCCTCAACACAAGTTTCACACTTATGTTTGGAATCAATGTGGAACTCGGGTATACAATTCAAGTTAACTAGTTTACGGAAAGTATCATAGTTAACATGTCATAGTTTACCATGTCATAGATTGAAAGACTCAAGCAAATAAGCAGAAGAGTTTACTTTATTCATTTTTAGTTTAACAACCATTACATTCAATTTGAATATACCGTCGGAAACATAACCTTTTCCGACAAACATTCAACTCCTAGACAAAATAACTTTGTCTGACTCAAATACAGTGCGAAAGTCATACTTATTCAAAAGCGACTTGGACACTAGGTTCTTGCGGATTCCCGACACATACAGCACATTGTTAAGAGTCAGCTCTTTTCCCGAGGTCATCTTCAGAACAACCTTTCCTTGACCCTTGATCACAGAAGTTGTTGAATTTCCAATGAACAACTTCTCTCCATTCTCAATTGCTTTAAATGTAGCAAATAACTCTTTATCAGAGCACACGTGTCTCGTAGCACCGGTGTCAATCCACCATTCTTTTAGGTTTGAATCCGCCATGTTCACTTCAGAAATTACGGCTGCGAGATTGATTTCAGACACATCATGTGCCATATAGTCAACCATATTTGCTTCTTTCTTTCTTCTTCTTTGGCAATCTGCACTCGGAAAACTTGTGGCCTACTTTGTCACAATTGAAGCATTTTCCTTGAAATTTCTTCTTAGAAATTTCACCTTTCGGTCCTAACTTTGTCCCTTTGCCATCGGATGGCCCAAACTTATTTTTGTGGGTCTTACTACTTTGACCATGCTCCAGAACATTGGCTTTAGCTACACCAGGATTGAACCACTTCATTTCGAAACTTTTATTGTCTTCTTCAATTCGAAGTCTAACAATTAGTTCTTCAACGTTCATTTCCTTTCGTTTGTATTTCAGATAATTCTTGAAATTTTTCCACGCGAGGGGCAATTTTTCAATAATTGCAACCATTTGAAAAGTTTCACTCAAACTCATCCCTTTGGCATGAATCTTGTGAAGAATCACTTGGAATTCTTGCACTTGACTGATAACTGTTTTGGAGTCCACCATCTCATAGTCTAGGAACCTGTCGACAATGAACTTTTTAGTTCTGGCATCCTCAGTTTTATATTTCCGGTCCAAAGACTCCCACAACTCCTTAGCAGT